GCTCGAGGTCAGGAGTTCGAAACCAGCCTGAGCAAGAGCGAGACCCCGTCTCTACTAAAAATAGAAATTAGGTAGACAACTAAATATATATAGAAAAAACGAGCCGGGCGTGGAGGCGCATGCCTGTAGTCCCAGCTACTCGGGAGGGAGGCTGAGGCGGGAGGCTCGCTGGAGGCCAGGAGTCGGAGGCTGCTGTGAGCGAGGCTGATGCCACGGCACTCACTCTAGCCTGGGCGACAAAGTGAGACTCTGTCGAAAGGAAAAGGAAAAGGAAAAGAAGAAAAGAAAAGAAAATCTTTCTGTTTTCAGTCCACGTGTGCAGATTTGCAATTTACCTGTCCCATCGCTAAAAGTTCTACGTTTATGAATAAGCCTGAAGATAAACAAATAAAAAAAGGCGCTGCATATCGAGTAGACCAATTAAGGTTTTAAAAAAGTAAAAATAGGAAAAGCTGTCTTCATTCAGATGATCAGATTCTCAGCACGTTTCTTTCTACGGTTTTCTCAATTTCACATACCTAACACTGATTTCTTTTCTTTTTTTTTTTTTTGGACGAGTTTGCTCTTGAGTCGCCCGGGCTGGAGTGATGCGTGTGGGTCCAGCTCGCCACAGGCAGCCTAGACTCCTGGCCTCCGCGAATCCTCCCGGCTCAGCCTCGCCTCGAGTAGCTACAGGCATGACCTTCACGCCCGGCTCAATTTTAATACTATATATATTAGTTGGCCAATTAATTTCTTTCTATTTTTTAGTAGAGACGGAGGTCTCGCTCTTGCTCAGGCTCGTTTTAAACTCCTGGATCTGAGCGTCCTCCGCCTCGGTGGCCTCCCAGAGTGCTGGGATGACAGGGTGAGCCACCGCCGCGGCTAATTTTTTCTTTTTTAGTTGTTTGGCTCATTTCTTCTATTTCAGGTAGAGACGGGTCGCCGCTTCCTTCGCTCAAGGCTCGGTATTTAATAGTCCTGACCTCGGAGGATCTCCGCCCTGGCTCCCAGAGTGGCTGGTGGTGACGTCGTGAGCCTCTGCGGCCCGGGTCAATTTTGTTATATATACATCTTTTTGCGCCTGTCAGCTCATTTCTTTCTATTTTCTGGAGTAGAGCGGGATCTCGCTCTTGCTCAGGCTGGCCTCAACTCAGACCTCGAGCAATACCCCCGCCTCGGCGCCTCCCAGAAGTGCCGCGCCGCTGGGCCGGGGCCGTCACGTGGAAGGGAGACATCCGGGACAGGTGGGCACTCTCTTGTGCCGCAGGAGCTTGGACATGCTGGTGAAAGTCCAGCCGCAGCTGTTCGAGTCGCAGATAAACGGTCTTTCACTAATTTCAGAAACAAAAGCAAAAGGAAGTGGAGCGACACAGAGCGACAGTGTGACGCGCGGAGTCCCGCGCCCGCGTCACCTGTGTGGCTCCGCAGTGGATCTTCAAGCGCGGCAGGCCTTGTGTATGATTGCTGCAGCCGGGGGAAGGCAGCAGCTGGAGAACAGCTCCTTGCTCCCGGAAGGTGGGCGCGTTTGGGGAGAAACAGGGCTGACTCGTGATGAACGACTTCTGCGCTGCGGTTGGAACAGAGGCGGACCCATTCACGCCAGGGGCGGACGTCACGGGCCACGGGGACGCCCACGGCCAAGCCAGGCAGGGAAGAAAAAACCACGGGACCAAGAAGCAGTCTCTGAGGAGTTACGGGCATCCGGCTTGGGCGCTGGTGGGTCACGCTTCTGCTAGCGCTTTCTGGGAGGCGGGGGAGGATGGCTCGACCAGGAGTTGGAGGCCAGCCTGAGCAAACGAGCGAGGACCGTCTCTACTAGAAAAATAGAAAGAAATGAGGTGGGACACTAAAATAATAAAAAAAGAATGAGCCCGGCGTGAGGATGCCTCTGTGTCGGTGAGGAGAGGCGAGAGGGATCCTCCAGTCGGAGTCGGAGGCCAGCCTGAGCAAGAGCGCGAGCACGCGTCTCTACAGGAAATAAAAAGAATTAACCAAAAACTAAAAATAGAATAAGAATTAGCCGGGCGGATGTTTCACGCTGTATCCGGCCACTCTGGGAGGCAAAGGGGAGGATTTGCTCCGGGTCAGGAGTTGAGGCCAAGCCTGAGCAAGAGCGAGACCCGTCCTAACCGAAAATAGATAAATTATTGCCTGATTAAAAGTATATAGAACAAATTTAGCCAGCGTGGAGGCCCAACGCCTGTAGTCCCAGCTACTCGGGGGAGGCCCGAGGCGAGATCCGCTCGAGCAGAGTCTGTAAACCGCCTGAGCAAGAGCGAGACCCCGTCTCTAGCTGAAAAAAAAGGAAAGAAATGAGGCTGAACATAAAAATATATATAGCAAAATGAGCCAGGCGGTGGGAGGCGATGCCTGTAGTCTCAGTACCAGGAGAGGGCGACGGTGGGAGATCGCTCGGAGGTCGGGGTGGAGGCAGCCTGAGCAGAGCGAGACCCCGCTTCTACTAGAAAAAATACAAACAAATTGATAGCCAAATAAAATATCTACAAAAAACGAGCGGTGGGAGGCGCATGCCTGTAGTCCAGTACTGGGAGGACGCCGAGGCAGGGGGCTCGAGGTCAAGGTCGAGGTCACCTGAGCAAAGAGCGGAGATCCCCGTCTGTACTAAAAAAAAAACAGAAAGAAATTAGTTGGACAACAAAATATATTATATTATAATATTGAGCCGGTGTGTGTCCGATTGCCTGTCGTTCCCAGCTACTCGGAGGAGGCCGAGGCGGAGGCTTCCTCCGAGCCAGGAGTTCGACACCAGCCTGAGCAAGAGCGAGACCTCAACTCTACTAGAAAAAAATAGAAATAAATGAGCTGGACAACTTAAAAAATATATAGAAAAATGGGCACCACTGGGCGCGGAGGCGCCTGCCTGTCGTCCCAGCTACTCGGGAGGGAGGCCGAGGCAGGAGGATCGCTGGAGGCCAGGAGCTGGAGGCTGAGCGAGGCGAGACTGTGTCTCACAACTCAGTCAGGACATTCCTCCGTCTGTGGGGCTGTACCGTGCCAAGAGCCAGGGTTCTTCAGCCCCTGGCGGGAGACGGGCTGCGTTCTCTGCCCTTCCGGAATCTTCTCCCTGACGTGGCCAGCCCCACCTCTGGCTACCTGGCCTCTTTTTCCCTTTCGCCACTTCCTCAGCCAGGGCGGCCTTGGTCACTTGCTTCCGGCCTCCGGCCCCGGCTGAGCCTCGGCCAGTGCGGCCTGCAGCTCAGAACGTTCCCAGGATTTCCACGCCGACGCTTCTAGAACAGAAACATTCTATATATTTCTCGCCGTCCAGCTCATTTCTTTCTATTTTTTTTTTTTTTTTTAGTAGAGACGGGGTCTCTCGCTCTTGCTCATCAGCCTGGCCTCCAACTCCTGGCCTCGAGCGAGCCTCCCGCCTCAGCCTCCCAGAGTGCTGGAACGACAGGCGTGCGCCACCACGCCCGGCTCATTTTTTCTATATATATTTTTATTTGGCCAATTAATTTCTTTCTATTTTTTTTTTTTTTAATATAGAGGGGGTCTCTCGCTCTTGCTCAGCCTGGCCTCGACCTCCTGGCCTCGAGCGAGCCTCCCGCCTCGGCCTCCCAGAGTGCTGGGATGACAGGCGTGAGCGAGCCAGCATGCCCTAGCCTGGAAGCCTCTGGAAAGGGGCCTGTGGCTTCTGCCACCAAGTTGAGGAGGGCGGGTGTCATTCATTCATTCATTCATTCATTCATTCCCTGCGTGCTGCCGCCGCTCAGTAGGGAAACCCCCCAGCAACTGGGGCGTCGAGTCCCTGGCGAGGCACCAACACGCACACACCCGGAGAGCCCGCAAACCTGCACCCCACACCCCCACTCTCGCACCGCCTCCGACTTGCGTCGCCTCCTGTCACTTGCATCGCCTCCCCTGACTTGCGTCCCCTCCTGTCACTTGCATTGCCACTCCTGACTTGTGTCGCCTCCTGTCACTTTCATCACCTCCCCTGACTTGCATTTTCACCTGTCACTTGGATCGCCACTCCTGACTTGCATCGCCTCCTGTCACTTGCATCGCCACCTGTCACTTGCATTGCTACCTGTCACTTGCATCGCCACCTGTCACTTGCATTGCTACCTGTCACTTGCATCACCACCTGTCACTTGCATTGCCACCTGTCAATTGCATTGCCACCTGTCAATTGCATTGCCACCTGTCAATTGCATTGCGTCCCCTGATTTGCATCGCCACCTGTCAATTGCATTGCGTCCCCTGACTTGCATCACCACCTGTCACTTGCATTGCTACCTGTCAATTGCATCACCACCTGTCACTTGCATTGCCACCTGTCAATTGCATTGCCACCTATCAATTGCATTGCTACCTGTCACTTGCATTGCTACCTGTCAATTGCATTGCGTCCCCTGACTTGCATCACCACCTGTCACTTGCATTGCCTCCTGTCAATTGCATTGCCTCCCCTGACTTGTATCACCACCTGTCACTTGCATCGCCTCCTGTCACTTGCATGGCCACCTGTCAATTGCATTGCCTCCCCTGACTTGCATTGCCACCTGTCACTTGCATCACCTCCTGTCACTTGCATTGCCACCTATCATTTGCATTGCCAACTGTCACTTGCATCGCCACCTGTCACTTGCATCGCCACTTCTGACTTGCATCACCACCTGTCACTTGCACTGCCACCTGTCAATTGCTATGCCTCTCCTGACTTGCATTGCTACCTGTCACTTGCATTGCCACCTATCAATTGCTATGCCTCCCCTGACTTGCATTGCCACCTGTCACTTGCAT